CTGCAAATGCAATTCAATGAATTCTGAGACCAATGAGCCAGAGCTCCCACCTGAGCCTGGATGGATTCTTGGACAGCAGCAGGATTCTTGGACAAAGTTAGTGCCCCTAACAGTCCAGTGTGGCAGAACAGCACTTCACACCTCTCTTATTTAGATTCCTATTTTTAAATGAAATCAGAGGTAAACGAAAAGACTGCTGGGGAACACAATACACTAGAGCAATGGCCAATTAATCTACTTTTCTGCACTCAGAAATTATTTTTAATGTCATTTTCCAATAGATTTAGTTGTTTAAAGAAGTTCACTGAAAAAGTAATTCAGAGTTGAATCTTTTTGAGACTCACCTACACAATTAGCTTTTAGAACCTAATAAATTTGGTGGAAGAAAAGGAGATACGTTAAGTGACAATTCTGAGAGGAGTGTACACAAAAACTCTCCATCAGTGACAGCATCCTGGACTAAGGAGGGTCAAGATGCTCCAACTCTTCCCCTCCTGCAGCCACCAGCTTCCTGCTCTCCTGGCACCTTCTTCTAGTGGCTCCCTGCCCCGGACTCTGCCCCTGGCTGCACAGCAGAATCAGGGAAAAGCTTTTAAAAGATAAGAGACAGGGCCCCACTCCAAGAGATTGTGATTGACTTGCCATGGGGTGCCTCTCTTGATCAGGATGTTTTTAAAGCTTCCTGGGTGAAACTTGTTCCCAAAACATTGCAGGGGACATACACCAAAAAATTATTCATCGTTAACCTGAAATTCACATCCAACTGGGCATTGGGTATTTTATCTAGCAATCCTGCTCCCTTCCCTCACCATCTAAACTGTCAGCAACTCTTGTTAGTCATACCTTCACCACCTATTTCAAGTCCTTCCCTCGCTCCCGCTTGCCACAATTACCACCCTAATCCAAGCCACCATCTGGACTCTGGCATGGAGCTCTGAATGGCCTCCCATTTCACTCTCCATTGGGCAACCACAGTGTTTTCCTGAAAGTATATATGAGATGATGTCATTCCCACACTTAAAACCCCTCACTCTGATGCACTTAGAATTAGACCTCCAATTATAAGAATAATTGCTTTAATACCCACCCTCCTAACTGTGGCCTCTAAGGCCCTGCCTTATTTGCTCCTGCTCACCCTTGCAACCTCATCTCAAGCCACTCTCCTGTCTGCCCTGCGCTGAAGCCACACTGTCCTGTCTGCATCTTCTGAACATACCAATGGCTTTCCTGTCTGGAGACCTCCGCACACCCAATTCCCTTTGCCTCCTAAGTCTTTGCCAGGTTGGTTTTCCTCATCCTTCAGGTGTTTTTAAATGTCACCCAGTCTATATTTGGGTTTATGTCCTGCAATATTTCATAACTGTATGAATTTTATGTTTATAGTTTTATCCCGAGACCCAAATCTGCAGACTGAAAGAACCCCTCTTCAGCTCTGTGGCCTTGCACAAGCCATTTCCCAAAGTTAGATATGCCTAAATGATCAAGGGGCTGAGATAAAACAGGTTGAGTTTATCAACCCCGCCCACGGCATAGCCCTTCTGTTCTCTTCAGCTACATCAGACATTGGGCTGAACCTCCCCCCACCCC